GGGCTTTCACCCAGCCCCTAGAGCCTGGCACTTTGAACTTGGACTTAAAGCCTCCAAATTGTAAGAATAAACTCCTGTTTGTTAAGGCCATTCCATTTGTGGTATATTTCTTGTCAGAGCAGCACTAGGTAACCAGAACACAGGGTAAACAGGACAAAGGAACTGGTAACTCCCCTCCCCCAGCCCAAGGCTAGTGCCTCCCCCAGGAGGGCCCTCAGTTTACTTAGCTTTGTTCTATAGTCACAGCTGTCTTTGTTCATTCATCCACTCACCAAATATTTATTGAGCACCTAATATATGCCAGGCACTATTCTAAATGCTAAGAATGCAGAGGAGCACAAGCCAGATAAAGTCCCTGCCTTGTGAAGCTTACATTTCAAGAGGAGACAGATGATAAACAAGGAAACAAAGATGATTTCTGATAGCAGTAATTGCTGTGAAGAAAATGAAACAGTGTAAGGAGGTAGGGAGTTACTGTTGGGAGAAGGGGCACAACTTTAACCTGAAAAGCAAGGGAAAACCTTGAGGATGAAGAATTTAGCATGATGATGCAAAGAGTCTAGGGAAAGAGTGTTCTTAACAGAGGGAGCAGGCCATGTGGAGTATTGGGAGTAGGAAAGCACTTGGCATATTTGAGAGACAGAAAGGACTATACGGATGGGAAGGAGCGAATATGAAGGAGAGAATGGGATGAGATGAAACAAAAGAGCTGGGCAGGCCCCAGATCATACGGAGTCTGACAGGCTGTGATAGAACATTTGGATTTTAATCCAAGTGGGAAGGTTTCAACTGTAAGCATGCTCCACTGGATATGAGTTTCTCGAGGGCAGGCACCATGTCCTTGACATTCTGGCACCAAATAACACTCACATGGCTGGCACCATAAAAATAATAGTTGTTTTTAACCTACATTTATGCATCATGAACCAGGCAGTTTATTTATGGTTTAAGATTAACTTTTAATGCTCACAATAAGCCAATGCTATAGGTTCCATTATTGTTCCCATTTTACAGACAAGGAACCAGGGGCTCCAAGAGGTCACATAACTTACCAAGGTCACATAACTTGTGTTGGAACCAGGATGAGAACCTATGCAGTCTAGGTGCTGTGGGAATCCAAAGAGAGGAGGACTGGAGAGGCCAGAGAAGAATTCATGAACATCTGAGAGTTTAGGTAGCAGGAAGAACAAGAACAAGTCCAGGAAGTCATGGGTGGAGTGAGAAAGACACCAGCTGGTCAGACCCTGCTGGGGATGGGAAAGAGTAGGAGAAAAGACTGGAATTCTGAAAGACAGATGGAGGAGTTCTTTTCTTTCTAGCCCCTGAACATTGCAAGCACAGACTCCAAAGCTGAGGGCCCAGCTGCCTGAAGCTGAAGCCTACCCAGGGCCTTAGCTACCCACCAAGCCTGTTTTCTCCAACCTTTCCGGAGCCCAGAACTCTCCCTAAACAATTTAAACCTCTGTGCAAAGATGAGGCCGGAGATGCACCATAAAGACAGGGAAAAGGCTCTTACTACCCTCACAAAGAAACACATTTGGAGTTTTGTGAAAGCTCATGTTAGACGGAAAGAGGTAAAGCCATGGAAGATCTTTGTGCTAGGCACATATATTTACTCCTCACCATAGTCACTACTACAGATGAGGCACTGAGACTCAGAGATGTTATATAACTTGACCAAGATCACACGGCCTGTAAACCAGGATTCACACCCAAGTCAGATTGGTTCCATTCATGGCTGAGGACTCCAGAACACAGTCATAGTTTCCTGGTTTGCACTCTAATACCTCTCACCTACATTTTCTCAGGCACTGGACTATGGCATTGACAAGCCTCACTGTTTGTTCTGGTTACCTAATGCCACTCTGACAAGAATATACCACAAATAGGATGGCCTTAACTAAGAGCCTTCACAATTTGGAGGCTTTAAGTCCAAGTTCAAAGTGCCAGGCTCTAGGGGCTGGGTGAAAGCCCCTCAACCTTGGAGCCTAGCTCTGCCTTCTGCTCCTGGCCCACTGGATCTAGAGGCATTTCTTCACTCAGACAGCTGCTAGCTGCTGAGGCTGACAAACCCAAGGTTGACAGATAAAAAGGCACAGTCTCGATGTTACCAAACCACACAACAGGCCTTTAATTCAAGTCCATTTAAGTCCCAAGGTCAGAAGAGCAAGGCAGGCTGCTCAACAAAGACACAGCTACATGCAGGGTCCAAGCATGCCATAAGCTAGAAATCATTCCCAAGTCTTCTCCTTATATACAGGAAGCAGACCACATCCCAAAGGCAGCTATTCAGCTGCTTGTGGTAGAATCCACCATGGAGTTGATTGCCAGTCTCATCATAGGTAATAACTACCACCAGCTGCCCAGCCACTCAACCAGGCCCAGCCAAGTTGACACACAACATAACCACCATAGTCTCTCAAGCCACCAGTCTTCCCTGGACATAGCAGCTTCTTTCCTTCTTAGACTTTTCTGGCCTCTACCTATTTCCTTTTGTGCAGTCAAAGTGTTCCTCTTTGAACTTAGGGTTTCCAACCCAGTCCCATCTTGGGCCCCAATTTGCTTTGCTAGTCCCCTGGGCAGAGACCATACCAGTTGCTCCCCAGTAGCCGAATGTCTGTGTTACAGGTAGCCAGCCCCTACCCTTTCCAACCTGTTTCCCCAGGTCTTAGGTATGGAGTAGCTGGAGAACCTTCCATAGTGGCCACCTCAGACCAGGGTGGAGCTGGGATGAGGGAGCTATCTCTTCAGATGTATTTGTTCCTATACTGTCCTAACATAGCCTGGGTCTCTTCAGGATTCCCAGCCCCATGCCCAGGTCTGCATCTCATCTCTGAGCCAAGCCCAGAACTAATATGGTCCATCCCCATGTTCACCCTTGTTGTTGTTGTTGTTATTTGCCGTCGAGTCGGCCCCGACTCATAGTGACCTCTCCTTGGGTTTCCGAGGCAGCATCACTAAAGAAGTAGGATTGCCCAACCTTCCTTCCAAGGAGTGGCTGGTGGGTTTGAACCACCAGCCTTCTGGTTAGCTGTCAAGCGCCTTAGGCACTATGCTACCAGAGCTCCTATGTTCACCCTAGTATCTTTATCTAATCCACCCCAAAGGTTCCACCGCTCTTCAGAGGGTTCCTCTTAGGTGCCTAGGAAATTAGGTGGTGAAGGAGCCGGGGAAGGTATTCTCCCAATGTCCTGGAAAATGCCTGGATGTGTGGGTCTATGGAATGTGCATGTGTGTGTGTGTGTGTGTGGTGGGGGAAGTATTTGTCTAAGTCCTCAGGTACATAAAGGGCCTTAAATTTAGATTTCTGGTGTTACCCCTAAGGATGCTATACAAAGCCATTGTCTATTTTATGTTTGTTAACTTGTTACATGTAAACTAAAGCCCACTGCTCTCCAGCTGGACTCATAGTGACCATATAGGGCAGAGTAGAGCTGCCCCCTTAGAGTTTCCAAAGCTGTAATTTTTACAGAAGCCCCTACAGAACAGCTGGGGAGCTCTGGTAGCATAGTGCCTAAGGCACTTGACTGCTAACCAGAAGGCTGGCGGTTCAAACCCACCAGCCACTTCTCAAAAGGAAGATGGGGCAATCTACTTCCGTAGTGATACTGCCTTGGAAACCCAAGGAGGGGTCGCTATGAGTCAGTCCGACTGGACGGCATATAACAACAACAGCGACAACAGAGCAGCTGGTGGGTTCCAAGCAAAGACTTATCTGTTAGCTGCCCAATTCTTTGTTAGCTGCCGAGCTCTTGGTTAACAGCTGAGCTCTTTAACCACCATGGCATAGGGCTCCTTAAATGTAAATATTGAAAAATATACTGTTGTCGTTATGTGCCGTTGAGTAGGACCCAACTCATAGCGGCCCCTCCTTGGGTTTCTGAGGCAGTATCACTACGGAAGTAGATTGCCCCATCTTCCTCTCAAGGAGTGGCTGGTGGGTTTGAACCGCCAGCCTTCTGGTTAGCAGTCAAGTGCCTTACACACTACACTAGCAGAGCTCCCTATATACTACAACTTTCAACCTTATCATTCTCCTTTTTAAAAAACTAGGAACCTCAAAAATGGAAGTAGGCAGGCTTCCCTCAAGCCTCTGTCTGATGTGTGCCTCAGGTGGAAGAATCAGCAGAAAGAGGTGGTTGGAAAGAAACCGGAAATCTATAGAGGATTACAAAGGGTAGAGGGGGTGTGGGGGATTCAAAGAACCCTATCCTTTCAGCTGAAACTCCTGGGGGTACAGATCCCAGTCCCTCTAAAAGAATTTTGCCCTCTGTGCCCTTGAACCCCATTCCTTCTCCTCTCAGGCAGCACTGAGGAGCTGGGGTGAGGGAGGGGGACAGGCCCAGACTAGCAGAGTGTGACAGGCTGTCGAACAGGCCTTCCTGCAGCTCTGGGGCCAGACGCTCAGGCTTCATGTTCTCCCGCCAGGGCCAGAATCCATGTCCAGTCTCGGACTCCTGGATAACCTGGATAACCCAGTCATCCCCGCAGAGGCAGCAGCAAGGGAGGGGAGGGGCTCCGCGGAGGACCCTAGCCAGGCGGAAGGAGCGCTCTCCCTCCCTTGGAAAAGACAGATGTGGGAGTAATGTAGGGAGGCCAAGAGAGGCGCAGGGCTAGCTGGGGAGGGCGGGGGCGTGGCGGGGAAGAGGAAAGCTCCCGGGAGGGAGCTAACCAGACCACCGGGAGGTTCCTCGCGAAGTCGTGAAGCGGGAGACGCGAAGCGGAAGGGCTGGGAGGGGGCGAGCCTTTTGGCCCGAGGGTCCCGAGCTGAAACTCATCACCCGCCTTTGGAGGGTTCGTCCTCCTTTCTCCTCCGCCCCTTCTGTTTCCCCTCCCTTTTCCCCTCCCTCTTTTTCTTAATCCCCAGGACTGAGCCTCGCGCCGGAGAGGAGAGGGCCTGAGGGGAGGAGGAAGAAACTGCACTGAAAGGGAGCACTGAAAGGGAGCCAGGAGCCCGGGAAGGGGAGGGTAGCCGCGAGCGGGATATGAGCCTGGGGGCCACGCGCAGCCCTCGAAGCTTTTCCATCTCGCCAGCTTCTGGGGGCACCCTCTCAGAGTTCCTCCCCTACATCCCACAGGCGAGTCCACAGGGCCCTAGCCACTGCCCCTCCTTCACCTTCTCTTCTTTTGCTTTGTGGCCTTTCCCTTCGTTCCCAGAGACACCTGGGAGCTGCCGAGGGGCCCTGCTTAGGGTGCGTGCGAGCGTGGGCGACGGGGCCAGTGCCAGGTGCTAAGGGACGGTGGGTGGGAGCGGGTGTGCACAGCCCTGCGAGCCAGGGCCCAGGGTTGGAGGAGGGTGGTGGGCCCCTCTGCTGCCAGGCCGCCCCACCTCTTCGAGCTGTGCCTGCGTGCTGGTTGCTGCAGGGCGAGAGCCCCGGGCGAGGAGCCGTCGCGGCGTCCCTAGGCCTGCTGAGAGCGAGTGTGTGTGCCTGAGCCCGCCGCATCGCCACGGCTGCGTCTAAGCAGAAAGCAGCAACTCTGGCAACACAGCCCAAGGGCCAAGCTCTCCGAGGCCTTTGGCGCTCGCCCGGCCTTCTTACGCCAACTCGGGCGAGTTTGAAGAGAAACAAACGTCTCAGCTCTCGTTCCTGCTCTTCCAGCGGGTCCGGCCACAGTGTCCCAGCCTGACCGCTCAGACCACTGCCCTGGGAGTCCCGCTCTTCCGCGCGGCCCCCGGGTGGGGTGGGTTGGACCCTAAACTCGCTCGTCCAGCTCAACCGCCCCGGCGGCCTCTCCCAACCCTCAAGGCCGCCCAGAGCGGCCTGGGAAGGCGTCGAGCACAGCCCCAGCTCCTGCCTCCTCACTGGCCCCTGCAACCGAGCTTTCGGCCCTTGCTGGTCCGGGAGCCTTTGCAGTCTAGGGCACGCAGGCCCGGGGGGCCTTGCCAGTCTGGTGGCCCCTGAGAGGCCGCGGGGACCTTACAGAGTGCGCGCCCTTGGATGAGGTCCCGCAGCGACGCCCGGCCCACCCCACCACTCCTCCTGCCCCGCCAGGCTACCTCCCATTTGGGGAGTTTTCTGGGTTTTCTTTCTCCTCCTCCAACTTCGGCGGAGGCCACGACTCAGGCTCCGCAACCAGGGACCGCCTCCTCGCAAAGAGGCAGTGGACGATGGTGCGGGGCAGCAGCTGCTGAAGTCAGCGAAACTGAGCCTGGCCTGGAGCAGGCCGCAGAGAAGGCCGAGGGCATGGCCATAGCCACGTCGGTGAGTCAGTCCATCAGTGAGAGGAGGCTGCTGGGCAGGGACCTCCCAGGCCTGCCATGCACTCCTGTCACTTTTACTTCTGCCCTCTCTTTGTCTCTCTCCTTGGGCCCTCCTCTCAGTTTTGTTTCCATCTTCCTCTCATTTCTTCTCATCCCCTACTCTCCTTTTGCTTCTGGGTTGCCCCTCTTCCCTTCCCCCTCCCCATTCTCCTCTATTTTTCTTTCTAGAGGCTGGCTGCTCCTGGAGCAAGGGGAGGGGGCAAGTATAGCCAGAGTCCTAGCTGCTCTTTTATGGGCGGGAACAGATGGCCACTTGTGGTCAGCAGGGGCTTGTGACTGGGAGGCTAGTAAAAGGTTAGGAGGACATTGAAAGAAGTGGTAGCTTGCTCAGAGAAAATGGGAGAGACCATAGGACCCATTGGAGGCTCATCTCTAAGAGGATGGAGGGAGGAAACGGGGAAATAGAGCAAAGAAGGAAGATCAGGCAGTGAGAAAGAGAGAAAATAGGGGAGGTGATGTCAGCCAGCCTCTGGGCACTTTCTGGGGACTGGGGACAAAGGGAGGAGACAGCTGGCAGAATGAGACAGTGGGAGGAGGCCTTCCAAAGAACACGTGGCCAAAGGCCACCCCCATTAAGCTAGCCATTCCTTCTCAAGTCAGCTGGGCCCTTGAGAAGGGGGTAGATCAGGGGTGGGCCACGCCTATTGTCAATCAATTTATCAGCACTCTGGCTGTTGTGTTGTTGTTGTCATTAGGTGTCATTGAATCAGTTTTGACTCATAGCAACTTCATGTGACAGAGTAGAACTTCCACAGAGGGTTTTGTAGGCTGATTGCACATTGCCAGGACTTTCTCCCAAGATGCTGCTAGGTGAGTTCCAAGTTTCCTGTAATTGCAAATCCCGGCAGTTTGGCCCTATTGGACAGAATTCAAACCTAAGAGGGAGGAGCACCCCATAGCCCCACCTCTGCTTTCTGCCCTGTGCTCTCTGTAGCAGGAATCCAAGCAACTCCCAAGGAAAGTGAGACAGCCACCTGTTTTCTGGCTCCCAAGTGTGGAGACTCCGGGAAGGATTGTGAAACTGCAAAGAGAAACAGAGAGCCATGTTTCCATACCCTTGGAGGAGGCCTGCTGGGTTTCGGTTTGGCTCCTTCTCAGACCAAACTCTATTTAGCTCCTCAGTCTGTGTAATGATGAGAAGACCTTAGCTCAGAGTTAGGAGAGATCTTGAAAACAGTAGGGGCATGCTGACCTAAAGATTCTGGCTTAGGAGCCAGCAGGTCAGCTTTGTAGTCCCAAGAGGTAGATTTTTTTTCCTTTTTTTTCAGAAGTAAGCAGGCGAGGGGAGTGGGGATGACTTACGCTAATCAAATTCTCAGAATCCTAATAACAGCTAATCTTTATTGAGCATTTACTACACCTGGCACTAGCTAAGGTTTCTCATCGGTTTTTGATGCATTATCTTACCCACAAGCTCACAACAACCCTGTGGGGATGGTATTGTTATCTCCATTTCACAAAGAAGGAAACTGAGGCCCAGAAAAGCTTAAACAGCCTGCCCAAAGTCACCCAGCTAGAACAGGACAGAGCCAGGACTCAAACCCAGGTCTGTCTGCCTCTGGAACTGTACTCTTACCCCCTGGCAAAATCTAAAACATCAATTTATAATTTACAGTTAGAAATGTGCTGAGCTAACTAGAAATATCTGTCATCATGTTTTCTTTCTGTGGGACAATATCTTTTAGAAGCCAAAATCAGAAAGCCATAATCAGAAAATGGTTTGATGAGTTTGGAATCAGACAAGGAGGAATTAGTTTGTTGTTAAAGTCACCCAGCCATGAAGGGCTGGACCACTTCTCCACAGAGGGAAATACCCGCCAAGAGGTACATGTACTTGTACTAGAGGAATGGGGCATCCTTCTCCCCAGGGCCTGATAGTCAAGTGCATCCTGTCTGAGGTCTTCAACTTGAGATTTTTTACTGAGTTGGTCAGCACATGTGGATTACCTGATCAGTAAGTCCCTAACTACTTGCTGTCCACTGCTATGTAAGCTACCACTGCCTGGGGTCCTGCCCGCCAGCATGGCCACTTAACAATCGTAACTTAAGCAGAGCATAGGTAATTTGGCATTTTGAGTGGTTTAAGCTTGATTATACCAAAGGACATCCTGGAACCCTGGCATTGGGAAGGATTACTAGCAAAAAGAAATTGTGTATAATGAAACCTTAATATGCTGTTGACTCATGTCCGAGTCATGGACTCTGTCAACTCAACCACTGTTAACTAATTAAAAAAAAAAAAGTAGATCTGCACATTTGTGATTGTAGAGAGGCAGTAAGGCAAGTGATTGAGAGGGCAGCCTTTTGTAATCAAACGGCCTGTGTATCATTGAGCAAAGTACTAACTTCTATATTCCAATTTCCTTTCCAAAATGGAAATAGTGATGACTCCTCCTTCAAGGTTGTTGTGTAAAGATACACAATGTCTGGACACATAATTAGCACTCAGTATCTGTGATTTAAGGAGCACTGGTGATGCAATAGGAGCTCTGGTGGTGCAGTGCATAAGGCATCTGATTGCTAACCAGAAGGTTGGTGATTCAAACCTACCAGCTGGAGGAAGATAAGGCAATGTACTTCTGTAAAGATTTACAGCCTTGGAAACTGGGGATCACTGAGTCAGAATTGACTTGATGCTAATCAATTGGCAGTGGGATGCAATGATTAAAGCGCTCTGCTGCTAACTCAGAGAGGTCAGCATTTTGAATCCACCAGCCACCTTGTGGAGAGAGAACCTGGCAATCTGCTCCCATAAAGATTGTTGTTGTCGTTGTTTTTGTTATGTGCTGTCGAGTCAGACCCGACTCATAGTGACCCCTCCTTGGGTTTCCGAGGCAGTATCACTATGGAAGTAGATTGCCCAACCTTCCTTCTGAGGAGTGGCTGGTGGGTTTGAACCGCCAGCCTTCTGGTTAGCAGTCAAGTGTCTTAGGCACTATGCTACCAGAACTCCCCCATAAAGATTAGCCTAGGAAATCTTATGGGACAGTTCTCTGTCCTATAGGATTGCTATGAGTTGGAATCTACTTAGTGTCATACAACATCTATGACTTATTAAAAGGTCTCTAAAACAAACCCACTGCCATTGAGTCAATTTTTACAGAACTAGATTGCCTCATCTTCCTACTACAGAGCAACTGGTAGGTTTGAACCACTGACCTTTTGGTTAGCAGCCAAATGCTTTGCCCACTATGCCACCTGAGTGCCTTAAAAGGTCCCTAGGTGGCACAAAATTTGCACTAGACTGCCAACCTAAAGGTTGGATGCCCGAACCCACCTAGCAGTACAACAGAAGACAGGCCTGGTGATCTGCTTCCATTAAGAATACAGCCAAGAAAATTCTATTCTGTAACACATGCGGTTGCCATAAGACAGTCGACTTGACAGCAACTAAAAACCGTAGACGTATCTATGATTATTACCTGAGCATATGGCCCTCGATGGACTAGAAACAGGCTAATAAATATTTGTCTTGGCTGATCCACCAGCTGGCCTCTACACACACACACACCAGAGTATACACACTTTTCTCTTCTCCATGGTAACCTTAGCCTCTTCTGAAGTTTGCTCAGACTCTGAGAACAAAACAATTGCTTCGGTTTCTGTTTTCTTCTTTATTATGCTTAGGCACTCTGTCTGGACTGGGCTTCTCCCACTCATTGAGGGTGGGGGATCTCTGCAATTGCTTCATCTAACCTTTTGCTTGTGGGGAGCACCAGCTGAGGGAAGGTAAAAGAGACTCTATGGAAGATCTTAGCAGGATTTCCTAGTGCATAAACAAGGCTTTTGGAGGAAGTTCATTCAATGCATATTTATTGAGGACTGTTTGTGAGCCAGGCTCCACTGCTGGTGCTAGGAATATAGCAGTTCCTGTTCTCACAGGAGAAGTTCTGGTGGTGCAGTGGTTAAGGCATTTGGCTGCTAACCAAAAGGCCTGCTGTTCCAACCTACCAGCCACTCTGCAGGAGAAAGATGAAGCATTTTGGAAGCCCTGTGGGGCAGTTCTGCTCTGCCCTGTAGGGTCGCTATGAGTCAGAATCAACTCAATGGCAGTGGGTGGGTTGGGTTAGGTTTGGGTTCTCACAGGGCTTACAATATAAGAGAAGAAATGCATAATAAAAAAGTAAACAGACAAATAGTGTAAAGAATTATGATAGAAACAATGTGTAGAGACAGAGAATGGAGGCCGGAGGAGGGGTGAAGAAAAGGCCTCTGAGAAAGAGATGCTTAAGCCAAACTGAAGGATAAAAAAGGACCAATAAGATGAAGAGTATTTTTGATAGCGGGAACAGCAAGAGCAAAGGCCTGAGGCAGGAAAGACTTTGTCTAGTTCAAGGAATAGAAAGGAAAAGGGAGAATACAGGAAATGAAGCTAGAGACAATGCAGGCCAGTGAAAAAGAGGTAAGCCAGGAATTCAGATTTTTAGTCTGAGGGAAACGGGAGCTCTGAAGGGTTCTCTCCAGGGGATGGCATGACCTGATGTGTGTGTGAAGACCCCCTCCCCACTCCCACCTCACCCACCAGGCCCAGCTGGCCCGGGCACTCTTCGACAACACTGCTGAGTCCCCCCAGGAGCTGTCCTTCCGCCGAGGGGATGTTCTACGGGTACTGCAGCGAGAGGGTGCGGGAGGGCTGGACGGCTGGTGTCTCTGCTCCCTGCACGGCCAGAAGGGCATCGTGCCTGCCAACAGAGTGAAGCTCCTTCCCACTGGCCCAGCACCTAAGCCCAGCATCTCCCAGGCACCCCCAGCCCAGCCTGGCTCACCATATCCAGCCCCAGAGCATGGCAGTAAGGACCAGGAGGTGAGAGAGCCAGAGAGCCTTAACTCAGCCTTGTGCCCTTCCTCTGGGGCCTGCAGCGAGGTGGGGCAGATGGACCTCAGCTCTTTACTGACTGTGTTGTTTGGACCCTGACTGCCTACCAATCCTTCCTGGGCTCTTTTTCCCCATCAGGACAGGGAGGGGGTTGGAAGGCCTCTAAGCTCCTTCAAGCCAGACATTATCTGGTTCCCGGGCCCCCTCACTCCTGACCCATCTGCTTATCTTCATCCCCAGGTGTATGTGGTACCACCTCTAGCTCGGCCCTGTCCCACCTCAGGACCTCTGGCTGGATCCTGCCCACCCTCCCCTGACCCCATCTACAAGATCCCCAGAGGCAGTGGGGCCCAGCTGGCTGCCTCTGGAGATACATTAGAGGTGAGGGGTATTGCTACCTGGGTCTGGAGACCCATGTGATGTGGGTGGGGAGCAAATGGGGACCCCCAGGGAGGGTTCATCGCTGAGCCTGAAGGATAACTAACTCTTCCTTTCTCCAGGTTTATGATGTGCCCCCCACTGCCCTCCGGGTTCCCTCCAGTGGCCCCTATGACTCCCCTGCCTCCTTTTCCCGCCCTCTGGCCCTGGTGGCCCCACAATCTCCTGGAGAGGATGAATCTCCCTATGATGTGCCTCTGGCCCCGAAGCCACTGTCTGAGCTGGAGCCAGATCTGGAGTGGGAGGGGGGCCGGGAACCAGGGCCTCCCCTCTATGCTGCCCCATCTAACCTGAAACGAGCATCAGCCCTGCTCAATCTGTACGAAGCTCCTGAGGAACTGCTGGCAGAAGAGGAAGGTGGGGGCACCGACGAGGGCATCTACGATGTGCCCCTGCTGGGACCAGAGGCACCTCCTTCCCCAGAGCCCCCAGGAGCCTCGGCCTCTAATGACCTGGACACTCTGGCCCTGATTTTGGCCAGGAGCCCCCCACACCCACACAGGCCCCGGCTGCCCTCAGCTGAGAGCTTGTCCCGCCGTCCTCTGCCTGCCCTGCCTGTCGCGGAGGCCCCCGGCCCTTCTCCGGCTCCCTCTCCTGCCCCAGGCCGAAAAGGCAGCATCCAGGACCGGCCTCTACCTCCACCCCCACCCCGCCTACCTGGCTATGGGACCCCCAAGGCTGAAGGGGATCCAGAGAGTGGGCAGGTAGAGAACGACCCGGAAGGGCACCACAACGAGTATGAGGGCATCCGGATGGCCGAGGAGTATGACTACGTCCACCTGAAGGTGAGCGCCTCTGGACCAGCCCCCAGACAACCAGGGAGAAGAGGAAGGAGATCTGGGGCACAGAGCCCAAGGCTGCCTCTTCCTCCGCCTTTCTTCCCTCCTTGCCCTGGCCCTTCACCCTTAGGCCTGGGACCCTAGTACTTGGCTACATCACCTTGTACCGGTGCCACCCCCTTCCCCTAAACCCAACCCTCTGACCTACCACCAGAGCTCTGCACCCTCTGATATAAGCATTCCCAGAAGGAAGGGGATTCAGGGAGGGACAGAAAAGCCACTGAAACCACCCACCCTGCCTTCCCACCCCTGTGCTGAGCCCTGGATCCCCTCCTGCAGGGCATGGATAAAGCTCAGGGATCTAGGCCCCTGGATAAGGCCTTCCCAGGGGATCCTGAACAGCTGGAGAGGGAGCTGCCAGAGCAGCAGGTAACCTTGTTGGGTGCGAAAGAAGGGGGTCTAGGGAAGGAGGAACAGGAATTTGAAAGGCGGAAAATTCTTAACCATTGGGTGGAAATAGATTAGGATGGGAGTGAGAGGGGACAGAGAGAAGTTAGAATTCAATAGAAAGGAGCTGGAACTTGGAAGAGGGTATCAGGAATTCAGAAAGCCGGGAAAGAATTTGCTGAAGAGAGGTCAGAAAGCCAGGCAGCTAGGAGAGCAGAAAGAGTGCGGGTCAGAGCTGGGCTGAGTGATTTCTGAGACTTCTTCCAACTGTGAATTCCTGGATTCCTGAAACTTGGCTCCTAACCCCAGCTTCACCAAGAAACCAGGGCTCTGAAGTTGTCAGTTAAATCTCTCTTAAAAGAGAGATGGTTTCCTGAACCCTGTCTAAGATGGTCATAATCACAATAGCTACCATTTATCAGGAATTTATCAAGTGCCAGACCCTGTGCTAGGCACATTACATGCATCAACGTTGATAACAGATAGTTTATTATGAGTTACCAAGGCCTAGGGATGGGGGTGGGGGAGTCATTCCTTAAGAGGAACTGAGTTTCTTCTGTTAAGTATGATTGAAAAATTTGGAAATAATTAGTGATGATGGGTGCACAACATGATGAAAGTAATTACTGTCACTAAAAGTGTCCATGTGAAAAAAATGTTGAAACTGCAAGTGTTTTGTTATATACGTATTTACCACAATATTTAAAAAAAAAAAAAAAAAAAAAAAAACAGCTCTAGAGCCATCGCCCTGAATCCAGACTTCTAGCTTCCTGAATTATGAAAATACAACTTTCTGTCCTTTAACGCAAAAAAAAAAAAAAAAAAAAATTATAGTTAATACCTGTATAGTGCTTACAGTGTGAAAGGCACTGTTCTAAACTCTTCCCATATATTATCCCAAGTAATATTCACTGCAGACTTACGGGCTAGATACCACTGCACTGTTAAGTACAGGAGTCGTATGTGGTTCTTGAGCCTTCAGAATGTGGCCAGTCCGAATTGGAATGTGCAGTTAATGTAAAATACACACCAGATTTATGAAAAAAAAATGAAATCCATCCTCAGTGATTTTCTATTGATCAAGTACTAAAATGATAACCTTTTTTAATATTTGGGGTTAGATAACATATTATTAAAATTAATTTCACCTGCTTTTTGTTTACTGCAACTACTAGAAGATTTTAAATTGCACATGTGCTTTGCATTTATATGTATATTGGACAATGCAGTGCTAGAATTCCCATTTTAGAGATACTGAAGCAGAAAAGTTCAGACACTTGTCTGAAGTCAAGTCTGGGGTTGTCTGCCTCCAGATCTGTTTGATTTCAAGTCTTGGGCATTTCACTGTCTTCTCTGTGATAATATAGATGATGAGCAAAGTTACGAGCTAAAGGAATTACACTTGGGAAGGAAGGAAGGAATAAAGAACAGCGGGAAGAAGGAAGGAGAAAGGCTGGAAAGCGGGCTATCCACAGGTGGCACGACTAGAAGGCTTCCACTGACTATCCCTCTCGCCCCTCAGGATGCACGGTCCCCAGGGGAGCCACTGGTTCTGCCTGACGAAGACCTACAGCTCCTGCACTTCTACGCAGGGCAGTGCCAGAGCCACTACTCAGCGCTGCAGGCAGCCGTGGCAGCCCTGATGGCCAGCACCCAAGCCAATCAGCCCCCTCGGCTCTTCGTACCCCATGGCAAGAGGGTGGTAGTGGCAGCTCACCGCCTGGTGTTTGTTGGGGATACCCTAGACCGGCTGGCAGCCTCAGCCTCTCTGCGAGCACAGGTTGGGGCTGCAGGTGTTGCACTGGGCCAGGCATTGCGGGCCACTGTGCTGGCTGTCAAGGGTGCTGCGTTAGGCTACCCATCCAGTCCTGCGGCCCAAGAGATGGTACAGTGTGTGGCAGAGCTGGTGGGGCAGGCCCTGCAATTCACTACCCTACTCACCAGCTTAGCCCCCTGAGGGTCCCTGAGCATATCTCTGTCCCTCCCCTGCCTGCCATAGTCACCCACCAGGCCCTGGTGGCTGGAGGGCTCTGTTTCAAGGACTAGGAGGAGTGAAGGTATCTTTCCCTCTTACTGCCTCTTCTAGTCATCTCAGCCTCTCACACGAGGCGTCTCTTCCCCCAACCTGCAGCTTTTTATACGAGCCATTTTGTATAAGTTATTTATATTTAATATTTTCCCTGCTTTGTCAGGGGTAGGCACCTGGCCCTCTGGGGGCAAGGAGGAATCAAAATACTCCTCCTCTCCTCAATACAGGGCAGATGTTTCTTGGCCACTGCACTACCACCCACCTCCTCCAGAAGATTGGTTCCACAGAGAATCAGGTGGCAAAAACCTGGGATCACACGGAGCCCCTCTCTTGTTCGTATTTCTTGGCCCCAGACCATTAGTGCTACACTCTGGTTAGAGTGAAGGGGCAGGACATTGACTCTGAATGTGAAGGTCTGGGAGAGGCCTGAGAAAGGTGGGCTCAGGAACTGGGTGTGGACTTCAATAAACTGGCTCTCATTCACAGGCTCTGCTTGTTGGGAGCCTGGGAGCAGGCCTCGCACCCTTCAGCCATACCTATGAGGCACACACTATGAGCAGGTTGCCTTTACAATTTTGGGGGAAATTTTGCTTGTTTCTTCAACAGCTATTCATTCAACAAGTGCTCAGCTCCCATGATGTGCCAGGCACAGTTGTCAGAGTGTACCATTCTAATAGGAGTGAGACAAACATAAGTGAATCAATTAAAATAAGTAAATAAAAATGAACCTGGCCCACAGATTTGACAATTGCTGGTGATGGGCAGAAATAGTGATATGAGAAGACTAACTAGATTGGGGAGGAGAGGGCAGTGAAGGAGACTTTAGATAGGATGTTTGGGAAGTGGTATCTGAGTGAGAGTACCAAGAACTGGAGGACTAGCATTCCAGGAAGGAAGATGTTGATTGAGGAGCCTTTCCTCTAACACCTTGTTAAATCATGTCATTAGAAAGGTGCAGGGGAGAGAATATAGTCACACCAGAGTGTCCAAAGGTACCTTCTTGGAGAGGTCATCCCAACTAAAGATCTGTCCTCAGCTTTACACCAGAGGACATCTTTGGCCAGGAGTGGTCTGGCTGGCCTAAGCACCCTATTCCTTAGGTTGCCTCAAGTTGGTCTAGCTCTTGGACTCCCCAGGCTTCCTGTTGACCATACTTCTGAACAAACCATCTTATAGAGTTGCTTTGGTGGCAGGGCAATATGGTGTGTTGGAAGTCTACAGGACTTTGGTGAAATCGATGAGAGGGGATCACTCCAGTCATATTACCACAGAAGAGGAAATCCAAGCCACAGATTATTGCTTCAGTTCTTTCCCAAGATGATAACCTGGCACGGTGATGCTTGGGGGCATTCCAAATTTCAGTCACAATCTTAGTCTCTTGGGACCCCTATGCATTTGCTTTGTCCATCATAAGTTCTTCTCTCATTTCATTCTCAAAGGGTTTCCAGATTTTGAAGCCACCAAAATTCACCTCTATGAATTGAAGACTTACAATAGGGGACATCCTTCATCATTTTCCAGAAAGAATCTAAAAAGAAGTCAGAGGTCTAAATCTGGAGTGTGACTAAACCTATGTGTTAAGAATTAGGTTGCTCACCAAAATGTCAGTGGCTTGAACCCATGGAGCAGCTGGCAACCTGCTTCCATAAAGATTTACAGGCTTGGTAAGCCTTATGGAGCAGTTTTATCTACTTTGTTTTATAGGGTTGCTATGAGTCAGAATTGACTCGATGGCAGTGGGTTTGTGTGTGTGTGTGTGTGTCTCATAATCATGTCAGTCCATCTTTAATGTGAGGATGATCAGAAATGTCTCACAGGTGGTGAGAACCTAACAAGATAATACATAAGAAAAACTTAGCACTACAAAAAGTTAAGTGATTATTATTCCAAGACACAGACACGAGGACACAGGCAAATTAATCCCCAAGGAATGTTGGCTGTATAGCACCATAATCCTGAAGAAATGCTGGAATTAGTTGGGGAGACTAGTGGGGGAAGGCTGCTTGATGCATTAGAAAGAAGGGGGTTCCTGAATTTGGAAAATTTCTGAACAAAGAAGACAAATACATGGTTAGTGGAGAGAAGAAGGAATGGATGTCCTGGCAACTAACCTGGCAGGAGTAAGAGACAGTCTTTAGAGTCTGCTTCTGTAAAAATTTGCACCCTCAGAAACCCTATGAGGCAATTCTACTCTGTCCTGTAGAGTCACTGTGAGTTGGAATGGACTAGATACCAGTGGGTTGTGGGTTTTTTTTTTTTTTTTTTGGGGGGGGGGGGGGCAGGGGTCATGGGGATGGTGTATAATCCCAGCTTTTACCTGGGATTAGAAAATCAAGTCCCTTAGAGAGTGTGTCTCCAGCTCCACATACACACATTTGGAGGTCTTGTTAAAGTGCAGATTCTGATTCAACGGGTCTGGGTGAGGCCTGAGATTCTGCATTTCTACCAAGTTTTCAGGTGGTACAGATACTATTGGTCTGTGAACTGAAATCTGAGAAGCAATCCTAGAGGTTAGGGAAGCTTCTTTGAAACAAAGATGCTTGAGCTGACAGCTGAAGATTGAGGAGAACTGGACAAAGAGGAATCAATTCTATCACCAATTTGTGCAAGGGCCCTCTACCACTGGAAAAACTGAGAAGAGCAGTGTGGCTGGACTGCAGAGAGCTGGGAAAGAGAAGTTAGAGATGGAGCTTCAGGGTACATAGGCCAGGCAGGCAGGACTGTGTATGAAGTGTCTAGAATAGTAGTAGTTATCTTGATGGTGAGGAGACACCACTGAAGGTTGTTAAGCAAGAAAGGACATGATCAGATCTGCATATGAGAAGATCACTCCATCTGCAGTGTAAACAACAGATGGGGAGGAGTGGGACCAAAGTGGGTGCAGAGCACTAGTTACGAATTAGGGGCTAAACAAGGCCATGTAACTGGTAGCTTGACTATAGGTGATAGAAGAGGAATATCCAAGAACTATATAGGAGGTAGGATGGATAGGATTTTGGTAAGGATTAGACTCAAGAGTAAGGAAGAGGAAGCTCTAAGGGCTATCACCTGAGCATCTGTCCACAGTACCATTCACTGAGGAAAGTACTAGAAGACAGCCAGATTATAGAGGGAAGAACATGAGTTTGGTCTTGGACATACTGAGTTAGAGTTTCCTGTGAGTTACCAAGGGTAAGAAGTCACATAAGCGGTGGGTTCATGGGTCTGGGACAAAAGAACGGCAGGAGCTAGAGATTCAAATCTGGGAATCATGTTTGTATCGGTACCATGGGCGTGAATGAGATCCCAAGGCAGAGAGAATAGTGTGAGATGAAAGGAGGGCCTAGGACTAAGCTGACAAATGCAGACACTGAATGACAGTGAGGAAGAAGAGGATGAAAAGAGGAACAAGAGAAAGAAAACCAGGGGAATATGGCACTTAGCAGCTTTAAAGTGTTTGGAGAAAGGGGTGGTCAAAAATGCCAAAGCTGTTGAGAAATGGACATTAAACAAGAGTGTGGGTGGTGAACCCCAAAGAAGTTGTCTCCTTGTAGAGGACTGAAACCAGGGCTGAATTCAAGGCCCAACAAGTACTCCATATGCATTTGCTGTACTGTAGTTGCTGGTTTACATGTCTGTCTCCCCCATCAAATTCCTGCGAGGTGGGTCTTGCCCAGCCTCATACCCAAAGCCTAGGCAGGGCCTGGCACATAATAGACTCTTAACAAATTTTACCGGATGAATGAATGGATGGATGGATGAATAAATGATGGGGAAGAGGTTGGAAGCAAAGGTAGCATCTCTCTGGGCCATCTTCTATCCTTTCAGCTTTCTTTCCTTTTTACCGCAATGGCCCGCAGACCTAGGGAACAGACGACAGAGCCCCATCCCCTCCCTCCCTTGGGCCCTGGCCCCCCTTTTCTCTGACGGAGAGTCTGGACCGAAGGTTCTGCTGACGTGGGAAGGGGAGGAGAGTCTGGAGGAAGGGGAGGGGACAGCTGCGCACAATTCGCAGAGACGAAGGAGGTGCCCGTGGCTGCAGCGCTGCAGAGCGGGGTCTCTCCCGACTCTCAGTGTCCGGGCACCGGGCGCGCAACTGGGCCAGAAGACAGCGCATCCTTTCTGTGCGGCCCAGCAGGGCCCTTGCGGTCGGCAAGCTGGCTCCCCGGGTGGCCACCGGGACCCCCGAGCCCAATGGCGGGGGCGGCAGCAAAATCGACAGCACAGTAGAGATCGCCCCCAGCCCCAACGGAGTAAGTGCCCGCGCCCAGGGGGGTTCCGCCATCCGCACCTTCGCTCCCGCAAGGGCCTAACCTTTTCCTCCCTCGCACAGCCCCCCTTGCCCCCTGTCCTTGCCCTCGCGCCTGGCGCCCCCACCCCTAGCTCTGCGGTGTCTCGCTTCATCCTGCCCTTGCCCCCGCCCCCAGCAGCAGGTCGGGACCCTCGGAGATGCGGTGCCCACGGAGCAGCTGCAGGGTGAGCGGGAGCGCGAACGCGAGCGGGAGGGGGAGGGCGACGCGGGCGGCGACGGGATGGGCAGCAGCCTGTCGCTGGCCGTGCCCCCCGGCCCCCTCAGCTTTGAGGCGCTGCTCGCCCAGGTGGGGGCGCTGGGCGGCGGCCAGCAGCTGCAGCTCGGCCTCTGTTGCCTGCCCGTGCTCTTCGTGGCCCTGGGCATGGCCTCGGACCCCATCTTCACGCTGGCACCCCCACTGCATTGCCACTACGGGGGCTTTCCCCCAAACACCTCCGGTTGGGAGCAGCCCCCCAACGCCAGCGGCGTCAGCGTCGCCAGTGCGGCCCTAGCAGCCAGCGCCGCCAGCCGCGTCGCCACCAGTACGGACCCCTCCTGCAGCGGTTTCGCCCCACCGGACTTCAACCATTGCCTTAAGGATTGGGACTATAACGGCCTGCCAGTACTCACCACCAACGCCATTGGCCAGGTGAGGCAC